AAAACCGAAATAACAAACATTGAATGAGAGCACAAGTAGTGCCAATAAATAGGTAATAAATTAAAAGCAGTCAATAATAGAAAAAGTTTAGGCCGTAATTTTTTATAATAGCCTTCGAGCCTGGAAAACAATGCCTTACAAGTGTATTTTTGAAAAGACCAGTATAGAATGAGTCATCACTCATTCAATTCGTTAAAAACACTCAATTTTGTAACCAATTGTTACGTTACAGAGATGAACAGTATTTATGATGTTCCCTGTATAAACAACTGTTGCAATATAAAACCCGTTTAGTTAATTATTGATTATCGTAACGTCGATGAACTTGAACCTAAAAAAACATGTAAGTCAAAGTAAAGCAATCTAGTTAGTTGTAGAAATAAAATATAGTGTTTCCATTTTTTTAAAAAGTAAGTAGTAGAAAATGGCCAAACTATGTCTGTACTTAGCTTTTTTAAATGTGTCTTAGAATCGTGATTTAATAATAAATATCCATTTATCTGTCAAACTTGCATATAACATTAATAATAGAAAAGCTGTAAGTAGGTATAAATGTAGTTTATGATAAAGATTAGAATGTTCAATTAGCCATTTAAAGTATTTTTGTATAATGTTGAAATATAATAATATGGTAACCGTTAATATAAATTAGGTGCAGTGTACGTGACAACCCTACAGCCGAAATCCTTATGTCAACACAAGGGGTTGTGTAGAGTCTCGAGGGAGGCGTTTGTTTTTAATAAAAGCTTTTATTTTGCAACTAGCAAGTGCCCGCAGATTCGCTCGCTTATCTGTTGTAATATAGTTTTTATTACCCTACGGTGTCAGTTGAATTTCCTTGTAGATATAACTATATAACATTATAAATGTTAAACAATATAGTATATATGTAATTAATTTTTATTTGTATTCGTTCAGTTGTCTATTCAGGATTTCCGTGTAATAAAATATGTAATATGTTTATAAGTAGATAGGTATATGAACAATGTAGATACATTTTAAGAACAAATATACCACAATTTTTTTTTATTTATTCATAAAATTTTTTTATACTCTTACCGCCTCTATTAATTATATCCGAAAAAGAATTTGAGTTTGTTTTTTTTTTCATTTTCCCCTTTTTATTTAAATGACGTGCCTTATTAAAATAGTAACAAAATAGAGACTAAATATTAAAAAAAAATAGAAGTAGCAGTATAACTAAGTACGATATAAATTTTGCCTATTTGATTCAAGCGTGGACAACACGATAACTACTATAAAGCTAAAATATTTTTTATGCAACTTAAAATGGCAAACAAGCTGACGGCCTACCTGAGAGAAAGTGGTAACCGTCGCCTATAGTACATAAGCAGTACTATAGACATAACGGAGTATACTGTTTCGTCCATGATACCTCCTATGCGCTACCGTTCCTAAGGACTAAGGTGTTATTCCTCTGTACCCTATAAATTCACTGCCATATAATTATTGAATATGTCATACCTACTTATAAAATGTTTGAGTGGGGAAACTAAATATCATATTACGTAAGCACTTAAGTATTTACCTTTGTAATTGTTATGAGAATGCTCGTTTAATTTTTTTACATACACTATAAAGATTATATTAAGATAACAGTATCATACATTGCAAATTATTTGATACTAATCATTGATATCTAATATTTTCATAGCCAATAACAGAAATACCTATATTTATAGTATTTAGGTACTATATAGAATAAAATGATACGTAAACCATGGCAACTATGAAGTCTTTGGAAAAAAAGCTGTGCAGGGCATTTATAAGAAAATTTTATTAAAGAAAAAAAAAACATTTAAATTATTAGCTTTACCCGCGACATCGTTCGTGTGACTGAAATATGTCCAATAATCGGATTCAAAAGTGTCCTATGTCCATCTCGTATTTGTTTTTATACCAAATTTCATAATAATTGGTTAAGTCATTATGACAATAAGGAGTATCAAACAACCAAACTCATTTTCACATACATTATAGTATTAGTAAGAATATACATAACATATTGATAAATTTAAACATGTGTACAAAAAGTACGTCCCTAAACCTATGTCCCATTCATTTTTCTGTCTTGAATCAGTTGTATTTGCATGGCTGTTTCAGTTAGGAGAATGGGAGATATGATAATTAAATTAAAGGGTACAGAGGTATAACTTATATATAGTTATATGTATTAGTGCTCAGGAATAGCAATGCATGAAGGGTATAATGGGCGACACAATATACTCTGTTATGTCCATGCTACTGTCCATTTCTATAGTCGACTGTTACCACTTTTCATCAGGTGGGTCGTCAGCTTGTTTGCCGTTCTAAATTGCCTAAAAAAAATTTTCATGATGGCACAGTTATGACAGTACATACAGACTACGCTCGACTCCGAGGATCTCAAGACGGTAATTGGTACATTTAAAAAATATTAACATTTGCTTCTTTGCTCAGAGGGCATGAAAAGTTGTTGTTAAACAAATCTGACGAGCTTTACTCTGGAAAATGTGTATTAACACAATAATAAATTAATATTTTTAACGTAGTTGTACAATTATTTATACATATAACATGGCTCTGTCCAAAATATCGATAGATATTACAAAAAACTTCTTATTGTACGAAATCAGAATTTCAGTGAACTGGTTGCATACATTTTATTCTAACTTTTTTGTTAGAAGTGACGCAGATTTGGACTGAGATCTTAGGATCTTGTAATTGCAAACATAACTTATGATTTGAAAATAATTAAAATGTAGCTGCGTTAATACTAACAGAATGCTAAGTGATATGTATAACTTTTTTATACATCACGTATATGCGATTTACGACAATTAGCATATTGATAGACAAGTACGCCGTGACTAAACCATGTACAAAACACGTGCGACTGTGATGATGTCGCAAGTTGAATATGAGTGAAAACAATGATAATAATAATTAAATAGAAACAATAAAGCACTAACATGATAACGTCAGCCAAGTGCAAACTGAAATCTACAATAAGAGTTTCGATTATTATTTATTATAAATATTAAAATATTCACAAAATGTCTCAAAATCCAAATTTGTTTAAATTTTTTTTCAAATTATTGTTTAAATTATAAAATTGATACAGAATACTAAATTTTAATAAGCAAAGAAAACGTTATAAAATTCGTACAAATGCATTTGCTTTTAAATTTGTGAAAAAAAGCAAATGATACTCAATTTTTTTTTTACAACCAGCCAGTATGTCCTCTATATCAAAAAAGTTTACATAGGTATTACCTACTTGGTAAGAAATGATATAATAATTTAAAATAGTATGTGTTGCTTAGACTTTTTTGATGTTACATAATATTACATAATATTACATTCTGATTGTATGGAATTAAATATTGTATCAACATAAAGAGCTTAATTGTAACATGCAATTGCAGTTATACCCGTTTGTATTTTTGTTGTATTTTGTTAAGAGACTGAGAGAGTACTGACTGAAAACCAACGCATCGCAGCTGTACATATTACATTGGGACACTTACAGTATCAGCTGAGCCAGTTGTAATATTACTGTATGTTCCGTTATAATTATGTGTTTTTCTGGCAATAAATATTTTCTATTTCATTCTAATATCCAGGCCCTTATCTTAAATTAAACTGTTATCATTATAATGACCAAACAATACGGTTTTGTTTAGAGACGTATTTATTACGAAACCCTAAAAGACTTATATGTTAATGTTTTATGACAGGTGATAATATATATCTAGGTATCATTATGTAAAAAAGTGATAACAATTAAAGTCAATTAAAATGTATCGGATAAGTAATTTAAAATCGATAAATTTGTTTTGTCTTAATTTTTGAACAAATAAGTATATAATTACAATTTTTTTTTTTTAATTTAGAAATACATCCCTAAAACCAATTCACAATTAGTATATTAGTAAAAACTATAGGCAGACTGAGAAACTCTTTCTTTAAAAGTCCATATTTTTAATAAAATTTTTGGTAGAAAACTAAGAGATATTTAATCAATTTTTGAAAAATCATCAGGAGATGAATTTTGTATAAAGCAACTATTATTTTTAAGGTGGAAATACAAGATTGTGTATTTAGAATTTTGGTATAAAAATAATAGGTATGAGGAAACATGTTCACTTTTTGTTTAACTTCTTGTTTTTGTAATTATACGTTATCTAATTACTACAATAACAACAAAGGCTATGTAATTGACTACTCATATCAAACAAATACGAGTCGCTGGTTGAGTATTAAATCAAGTGCTATAAATTATTGTTACCTACCTAATATGGAAACAATAATATTTCTTGTACAGATTCATTCTTCTTTTGTTCTTTTTCAATTCTTTTAAAAACTGTCAAATAAATTATAGGACATTAATTATACATTAAATGTGAGTATTAGACACAAATGATACATAGATATACTCGTATTTATAAAATCAATATGATAATAGTTTACCTATATCAAGCAATGAACTAAGTCATTATGATATACCTAGTTCATTAACCCAGAAATATTATTTCGAACTATATTATATATCTTAATACAGTACAGATAAATAGACAAGTGATGATATTAAAATGTATAAATAGATAAAGGTAAGTATATCCACGAAATTACAGGATTTTTCACATATGATGAAATTAGTATACCAACCTATGCTACCGATTCAGATCAATGACACGGCGATATATGTAGTCAGATATAAAATTAGGTAATTAGTGCAAAATTGGAAAGAGATAAGGATAATTCTTTACTTATATTCTTTAAAGTGTAGCCTTTTTTTTCACAACTGTACGTATTTTGTCACTTATAATACTACAATAAACATTGAAAGAAACAGACTGTTTTAATAATAGGTAGATAGTGAAATAAGCAATAATTTTTAAAAAGAAATAAGTGTTTACGTGATACACTCAGTGTTCACATCAGGAGCATTTTACTGTACATTTACGTAAGTGTGTAATTCATATTGTATAAAACTCTTAACTGTAGAGCTCTCGAATATCAGCTGAACAAATACCTAATAAGAACGATTAATTTGTTTCTTTAATATTGAATATTATTGTTATTCTTTTTTTCATCATTACAATATTATATTTTTTTTTACCTTAAAAAATAATATGTCATTAAATAATCTGCATCACATAGAAAAAAAAATAATTTAAAAAGGGCTACACTGATTTTAGTGATCATAAATGTTTGGTGTAGAATCTCCACAACCGAAGTGTATAGGACTTATCGTGATTATAAAAAGATACATAGTATTAATTAATAATAATTAAAATTAAAAAACGCCTTATTCACTTTCATGAAATAATATTTTTTTATGGTAAGTATCCGATTTACGACTCTAATTTAAATATTACATGTGTTAGATAATATTATCTGTGTTGATTACTTTTAATGATTGAAAAACAAATAGATGGCAATCGCTAATTTGAAACTCAAGCTTTGATTTATCAAGAAAACTTTCTGTTTATATAAACACTACTTATTTGTATACGATTCATTTATGTATTTTACTCGTCTACTTTTATATTTACATCTACATATGTCATTATTATTATATTTTATATTGTATAATTTACACGTATAATTTCGTGATTACAATAAGGTAGTTAATTATAACTCGAAATAACGCGTTCGCGTCTTCTTACCCATGGAAATTATTAGATCTCTTGGCTTTAAAATTCCTTGAATATACTGTCTTGTCGTTTTTAACTCATGTGAAAATGTTAAATTTCTAAACACAATAGTTTTTATAATGTATATATAAATTTGTCTATATTTCTTGCAGCATAGATTTTTTGGTATAAAAACCAGTTAACAAATGTCTGGGTATACGTAAAACTAACTCATAATGGATATTTTAAGTTATTTATAATTTTTATAGGGTTTCTACCTATCCGAGAGAATTAGTTACATCTATTGTGGTAGTATCAATCTATCTATCTTAATCCTGTGTTACGAAAGTTTTTAATTTCTTTTTATACCACGAAGGTAGCTAACAAACTTACAGCCCGTTTGATAGTAAACGACCATTGTAACCTATAAACGCCTACAATACTAGGGGAGTCACTTGCGCGTTGCCGACCCTGAAGAAACCTTAATACACCCTTTTTGAAGAATCCCATAATATAATCATTGGGGAAACCTTCGTAGGAAGCTATAATCGTTTTGCAAGTTATACTTTAAAACTGAAAGTTGCATATTAGTCATTTTTTTAATAACTGTAAATATTATAATTTTATGTGATGTAGAGTGTAAATACAATGTTTAACTATCCTTTTTATCCCCAAACCATGTACCAGGGGCAAGACAAAGTACTAATAGGTACACCGATATAAGAGAACTTGAAATTAAAACTTAATAAGCCACCAGACCAATGAGGTATACCTAGCAATTAGTAATAATAGAATACCATATTCTATTATTAAAAGAGATTTTTATTTATTTATTTTTTTCTTACAGGAAACAAAATGCTGAAACGTGCATATACATGGCAATATCTCGCTATTATCTTTGTTTCACTATCCGCAGTACAAACAAATAAAGAACCTAAAATATCGACGGCGGATATTTGTAAGCCATTAATAATAGCCCATCGTGGTGCCAGTGGTTATGTCCCTGAACATACTCTCGGTGCCTATGCTCTCGCAGTTACTATGGGCGCCGACTACATAGAACCTGATATCGTTATGACAAAAGATGGACATCTGATCGCTCGACATGACAACGAATTAGGCCTTACCACAGACGTATCGGAACATCCCGAGTTCGAATCGCGTCATCGCAGTCAAGTTGTTGACGGTGTACAAATAACCGGCTGGTTCACTGAAGACTTCACATTGGCAGAATTAAAGACATTGCGTGCAATAGAACGCATACCTAATATAAGACCTGGTAATGTTAGAATGGACAAATCTTTTGATGTTCCTACTTTCCAAGAAATTATAGATCTTGCTAAAAGCATGCAAGGTATTTACTGTCGTGAAGTAGGTATATATCCGGAAATTAAACACAGTACTCACTTTCGTCGCCTTGGATTAGCTATGGAAAGACCATTGGTTGATCTGTTACATAATAATGGCTATACAGGACCCAATGCTCCTATATACATACAATCATTTGAAATAAGCAACTTAAAAGAATTGAAGAATATAACTGAGCTACGTTTAATACAGTTATATGGATCGCATCTATCTCAGCCTGTGGATCAAAGGGAACTCGGTACTAACCTCACCTATGGGCAAATGGCAACAATCCAGGGATTAAAAGATGTAGCAACGTATGCACACGCTGTAGGTCCTGAGAAAAATTATATAATACCGCGTACTTCTCTTAATAATCTAGGTATTCCCACTGATTTTGTAACAAATGCACATGCAGCTGGACTTAAAGTACATCCATATACTTTTCGATCCGAAAACTACTATCTTCCTGCTGAGTTTCAAAGTAATGACACATCTCCACATGCTATCGGTAACTTTAGGAGTGAATTAGAGGCATTTTTAAATACTGGAATAGATGGTTTCTTTGCTGATCAGCCTGATGTACCTGCTAATATACGAACAAAATGTGTAATTGAGGAACCGGTATGTCAATTCAAGCCGAACTCGGTCAGTAAATTAGTAGCTTTGAATTCAGTATTATCGATTTCTGTTTTCTTTATATTTTGTAGCTACATTTTTTAGTTTTAGTAGTAATGGTAATTGTCTCTTCTATTCTTGTATAAGCATTTATTTCTATTTTGTTTAATCTATAAACAACAAACATAATATACGTATTTATTATTATTATACTAATTATTTCCTTCAATTTCGCCCTTAAGAAATTCATGATTTCCAGTTTGTATGAAAATTTTAAAAATTACTTCTTAGTGTTTATTTACATTATATAATCTGCAACTTACGATAATATGAAGAAAATATTTTTAGTTCAATTATGTTTCGATCTATTAGTTTCTTACTTATATTAAATACATGTGAACAAACAACAATCATATAAAAGGATATGTTTCTGTTATATAAATGAATTATTATTATGAGTATTATCTAATATTTCATATTCTACATTCGAAATGTTAATTACTGCTACTGTTATAGAATTTTCGTCTTTGTAAGTGTCTAAACAATCGAATTCTGGCTGGCACTACGCCAGATATATTTCCAATATTAATTAGTACCTATATGTGTGATGTAGATTATTACATAACGTTTGTTATTACATCAGAAAATATAATGGGCAAATCAATACTTCCTAGATTTTTCTATAATCTGCCAAACTATTGCATTCAAATATATCTTTAATTTTCAAAAGAAAAATCGGTTAATAATGATGATTTACGAAACTGAAATATAGACTTACTACTAATTACATGAGGAATCTTGAAGTATCTATATGCAAATTACGAAGAAGGCTATACTCCGAGTTTCGCTACGTGATAAAATTTAAAAAGGATATCCGCAATTACCTAATCTCAGAAATCTAATGAAGTTCCAAATGAGTGACAGACTAACTCATCATTTCTTGAGTTAAAAATATTTAGATAGGTAAATCTGTACGGCTCAAGCACGGTTTAAGGTGTATTTTAAGATTTGGTACGTAAAGCGCCAAAATAGAAACCTTATAATTACTCTTCCTATTTTTCTTAGATATTAGATCTTTATATTACATCTTTTTCCAATTTTTAAAGTCATAAATTATGCAGGAGTAAGTACTCTATTTACTACTTAAATTAAAATTGAGTACACATACAGGTCGTAGCGTAAGGTACATAACTTTTTCGTAATTTAGAATATTTGAAATCCCAATAAAATAGAACGAATACGTCATTTAAAAAAAATTAAATCCCTAGTGGATTAGGGAAATCGGAGATATTTGTCAACTATTACCGTTGTGATAAACGTGACACTCGATATTAAAATTCGATGTGGAAATTTAACAAGTCTACAGCCATCAGTGTTTACTTGATGAATTTTCTTTTCTTTTTTACTGCCTTAATTAAGTTCGATTCTGTAAATACCTCACGTTTTCATTGTTTACACTGAAATGATCTAAATTAATGCTCATGAAAATTGGCAAATACAGAGTAGTGACGTAAACAAACATTGTAAATGAATGGAGTCGCCGTTGTAGTTTTCTTTATAAAATCCCTTCATCGATATTTTTATCCGAAGATCCTATTCTTAATCTATATTGTTATCCTTTATAGATAGATATCTAGATAATGTGACGATTTTATAACATATGTCACCTTTAATGTGGCTACTTATCATTTGTTTCGTTAGGCAACGTTATCATTGATCAGGCCATATAGATCACTCCACTCGCGCCACTTCGCCGATTTATTTTCAGCATCCGCCATCACACAACAAAGTGTACGTCGGTACACTATAGATATAGTGTTATCTAATTGTATTAGTATACTCACGAACAAAATAATATTGTGAATTATATTATAGGAACTATCTGTGCTCCCGAAATGTTAGTTCGAAGTGTTTTTATGCTTTTTCCTCATAGAAATAAGACATTATTACAAATTTTTAAATATCTAACTTTAGAATAGACTAAATAGTTTCTATGCATGATACTCGTATAATATAGCAGACACATTTTTTTTATATGGTGTAATAATTTTAAAAATGTTTGTGTACATATTCAGCCTAATATTCGTTATGCTGATGGATATATTATTTTTAGAAATACGATCGGTCAATCGAATAATCGTCGCTTTCAATCTCTTATTGAGTTCAATTCAAGGCAATGAAAAATGTATTTAACATACATAGTACTAAACTCAAGCAGTGTTTTTTAAATATATCTATAATGAACAAATAAATGTATTATGTAGTAGATTTTACTAGTATCTAGTGTAAAATGTCCTTGAATTTATGATTAACAATATTACGACACATGTAGGTACTTAATATCTATTTATACATAAATAAAAGAAACCGCTATTATTTAGCCATATATGTCAAAAATATTATGAGAAAAGTAAAATGGATGTAGAATAATTAGGGTAATTATTTTGATAATTTTAATACTTGTAAATAGCATATTTAAATAAAGAAAATTATTGGTTTATACCAATAGGAATTGAACAGGAACCTGAAGAAATTTGCATAGACAACAGTTTTCGTTTAGTTGGCGTGGCAATTAGAAAACATTTTGAAAACCAACACATATTTGTGACTTGTTACTGTAAAAGTGATGAAAATTGTATCAATTTGAAGAAAAAATATAAATTTCGGTAGAAATAAAAGATTTCATCTAGCAATATTACCTTCTAATCAAAGAAGTCCTGTCTTGGAGATTTTTTAAACTTACAGTTTGCTCTACACCTAGGTTGTATATTGTATTACCACCTAGGTAGGTACTATAGCAGAGGAGGCGAAATTGTCATACACTTCTTTTTTCTTTATTAATTCTCTCTTTCTCATCTCTTTGCGTATTTTATCACATGTATCATGGGGAGTTTTCAACATGTACAACCCGCCACAAACTAAAGTTTATTAACCCAACCATATGGATGAATGGCGGTCGTCCACACACAAGCAAAGTATGGAGCCAACTCCCAGCAGCAGTCTTTCCGAACAGGTACGACACTGAAACCTTTAAGAAAAGAACATATTCCTTCCCAAAAAATCGGCAACATACCTGCAATTTCTCTAATGTTGCGGGTTCCTATGAGTGATGGTAATCACTTAAGTACCATCAGGTAACCCGCATTCTCGTTTGCTGCCTATATTATAAAAATATATATTATTTCAAACTAGATAGGTATGTCGTAAACATCAAATTACAAATAAAACTACATACAGTCTTAACAATTTTGTCTTCATATATGTTTCGTTAAAAGCGAGTCGTCGCTAAGACTACTTCAAAACTCAATTATTCTTATATTTACTATTGTTGTATACAGACGTTTCAGATCATCAGATTAACAACTGTGAGTCTATATTTATATAGCTTTACTCAAATTATAAAAATAATTAAACATGTGTGATTTTCGTGACTGATCACATTTTTTAATAATTATATAATAAACAGACGCAGACGTATCAAAAACTCTTATTAATTTTCGATTTTACCATTTTAAGTATTAATTTATTTTTAAATTAATATATTTAAATTTATAACTTGTGCAATAAGGTTTCAATCTTATCAACCAACCTAATTATCTGGTTTACAGGTGAAATCCCTGTTAGGTAACAGGCAATAAAAATGGATTTTCGGGTATCCTTAGGGATACTGTTGTTAGGATTTGGAGTAAATTCCTCATCAACGCCTGTAACCTTATCCGATAATGACATTGAGAAAGGAACTTCCGAGTGCAGCCCACTCGTAATAGCACATCGTGGGGCAAGCGGTTATATTCCCGAACACACTCTCGGCGCATACACCCTTGCACTTACAATGGGTGCAGACTACATCGAACCAGATCTCGTGATGACTAAGGACGGATATTTAATAATTCGGCACGACAACGAATTGGGATTAACCACAGATATCTCACAACATCCAGAGTTTGCTGACCGTCGCCGAAAGAAAACTGTTGACGGAATTGAATTAACCGGTTGGTTCACTGAAGATTTCAATTTATCGGAAATAAAAATTTTACGCGCAATCGAACGCATACCGACTATAAGACCAGGCAATGCCAGAATGAATAACTCATTTTCTGTGATGACCTTCCAAGAGATTATAGACCTAGCCAAGAACTTTCAACATGTGCAAAAACGTGTTATTGGCATTTACCCAGAAATTAAACATAGCACGCACTTCCGACGCCTGGGTTTGCCCATGGAGCAATTAGTAGTAGACACGCTTCATCAAAATGGATATATTGGATCTAATGCACCAATTTACATACAATCCTTTGAAGTAAATAATCTTAAAGAGCTTAAAAATATCACAGATTTACGACTGCTGCAATTGTTCGATAACAAATCTACTCAACCATTTGATCAACGAGAGCTTGGAACTGGTCTAACCTATGGTGATATGGCAACATTGGAAGGATTAAAAGAAGTTGCTAAATATGCATATGCAGTAGGTCCGGACAAAAGTTATATTATTCCAAGAGATTCTAATAATAGACTAGGTAAAGCGACCGCTTTTGTGAAGGACGCTCATAGCGTTGGATTAAAAGTGCACCCCCATACTTTTCGGGCAGAAAATTTTTTTCTTCCTGCTAATTTTCAAAGTGTTAACAGTGACGAAAATGCTATTGGAGACTTAAAAAGTGAAATAGAAACATATCTTGCAACCGGAATCGATGGACTCTTCTCTGATCATCCAGATATACCTGTTCGTATTCGAAGCACTTGTGTAAAATAGTCTAGGTCTAAAACAAGTAAATAGATAGATAATTAATTACTTGGAGGTACCTGAAAGTTTAAAAAATTAAGCGCTTATGTCAAAAGTTATACTTAAATATGTAATAAGCTCCTATAAATTACATACTTAGATATTTTTATTTATTTATTCATTAGTAGAAATATGTTTACATGGTGGACTTAATGCTAAAAGCATTCTCTCCCAGTCAACCATAGGGAATTGTCAGAATACTCGAATGCGGTACTAGTAATTATTGATATACATACATACTAAAATTACATATATAAACGAATAAATATATATATATATATATATATATATATAAATGACAAATATACTTACATATATGACATATACTATCATCATCATCATCTTCCTACCCTTATCCCAACCATTTGGGGTCGGCGTTATATGATTTTATCCATATTACAAAAAGATTTGGTTTTTTAGTTTTACAACTGGCCACCTGCCTGACGTCAACCCTCTTTGGGAATGCATTTGTTGGTGGTTTCCGCCACCTACGGTATAAAGTAAAGGATTGAAGAAAAAAGGAAGGGAACGTTGGGAATGTGTAAAGTACTATACATATACTATATTATACACAAAATTGAGAATAAAGTGCTTATAATATAAAGTAGATATCTAAATCATATACGACTACGTACTTTAATATTTCTGCACACATAGTCAATTTTTATTTATTGTATCTATTGAACATATACCAATTCATGTGATATATTTAGTAGTCTAGTTATCTATTTTAATATAAATAAAAAAAATAAAATTTAAATTAATAAAAAAAAGACATCTCTGGAATCAATCTAGCTTTCGATTCGCTATAAAATAAAATGCCATCAGGTATTTACTAATCTAATATATACAATAATCAGACGGATACTGGGTATGACTACGAGATTGCCAGATGTGATTTTTTATTTTTACCCAAATGTCTAATATTTTTTCTCCAAATAAAAAATTTGTATCAATTTTTATATTTTGTCATGTACCACAAAGCGAACGATTCTTCCCTCCCTCTCTTATTGCAATCCTCTGTTTGTTACCTTCATTGATATATTTTATTGTATTTATATACAGTATAATACAAATACCAAAACTGTCAAATAAATTATCTAAATTTCTCCAAGCCCATTTCACTTTTCTCCGAAAAATTCTACAAGAATTTGATTACACTAAAATTTCGCACACATAAACGCGTTTACACAAAATTGCGGAAAAAATGTCCAATCTAGCAACACTGCAGAACTTGAAAGCTGTACTAATATTTATTAGAGTCCTAATAATAGCAATTTTATCGGTTTCATAGCTCATCCTGAATCGAATGTTAACATCTATCTTAATATGATCCACTTTACTTGTTTCTTTCGTTGACTTTGTACAGTGTACAATGTAGTTCGAGACGTCCAATATGTTCTACTGGGGGGACAGGGATTGTTAGTAATGGAGACTAAGAATCCTATTGCTAGCAATATACCCAACCAGACCACCTCCTCGCGGTTCCCCCTGGAAACTGTCATGGTTAATTCCTGATGAATGCATCATGATGGGCTAACTGGCCTGTTTTCATTTTCATCAATTACCCTTCACTGGTGCTCCGCTAGCGTATCCCGTTAGCGCAGATTCCATTTTCACCAATATGTCCTACTCATAAGTAGGTACTTACATGTAAATAAGTAATATAATTTTATAAGTTAAAAATGCATGATAAGTTAACAGTACAGTCAAGTAGTATTCTCATCTTCTTACCGAAATAATTTTAAATTTCTTTTCGTCTAATCCAGACAGTTAATTGCTATTTCAGCAGATACTCGGAACTTGTATAGAATCTACCTACTTTAATTTATGAGAAAATATTTTTTAAATACTAAATATTAATTGTTCTTACAATTAATTACATTTTTGGATATTATAGAACTGAATAGAATTGGATATCATAAAATCACTGTGTTATGAAAAGATCCACATACAATATAATTATACAAAATTGGTATACTTATAAAAAATATAGGATACTATATTATTATTTACTATCAGTCACTAAAAACATCAGTCTTAAATATAGAAAAAAAAAACAGCCACGGTTTTGAGGCGCCATTTCTCTAAACTTATCTCTTAACCTAAACTTTAATGTTTTAGCGAATTACTGTTATATGAACTATAATTTTTTTTTTTATTTATAAAAATGTTGACGTGAATCTGTTAGAAACCGAGTTCATATTAGTCCACAGAATAAAGATTTCGCTGTAGTATCAGATTAATATTTAGATTTTAGAGATAAGTTTAGAAAAATGACGCACCAGACAACCATATGCCTAATTGAATTATATTATAGATAGAATATCATAAACAGGTCAACATTCAATCACTTAATTTCACGTTTGGCTGAATTAATTTGACACATTCTTTTTTTAAATAAAAAGAAAACGTGCTAATTTTTCAAAGATCCAAGTAATTAGATTAAAAATTTCCCGAACGATGCTCCGAGACTACGATGTATATCCGAGTACAGACCCAGAATACGTAACCCATCTTAGTGCAGAAAGGTTTAAGACAGTGTGACGTCATATTCCCGAAACTGTTCACAGCTACATTGAAAGATGTTTCAAACTCTTGGACTGGAAAGGATATGGTATAAACATCAATGGCGAATACATCACTGATCTTCGATTTGCCGATGACATAGTAATCATAGCTGAATCCCTGGAAGATTTGGATACTATGCTTAATGGCCTCAATGGTGCTTCTCAACAGGTAGGTCTTAAGGTGAACATGGACAAGACTAAAATCATGACTAACGTCCATGTCACTCCTTTACCGGTTACGATTGAAAACACTACGCTTGGAAGTTGTGAACGAGTATGTATACCTAGAACAACTTCCGAATAGGTAAGTCCAACTTCGACCGAGAGTTCAACCAACGAATCTAACTCAACTGGGCAGCGTTCGGAAAACTACGCCACATCTTTTCATCCAAAATACTTCAAAGTTTTAAGACGAAGGTCTTTAATCAGTGCGTATTACCAGTAATAAGTTATGAAACAGAAACATGGTCCTACTCGACTTCCCATATACAAAAGCTTCAAATTACTCAACGAGCTTTTAAGAGAGCTATGCTCGGAATTTTTTGCGTAATAGAATCCAAAACGAGGAAATCCGTAAAATAACGAAAATAACCGACATAGCCCGAAAAATAAGCAAACTGAGTGACAATTGGGTGGTCCTCTGTCCCATTCATGTTTCAATCGTAAAGCAGTTGTGTTTGAATGGCTGTGTTTCGGTTTGAAGGGTGGGATATGGCGTGAATTTACAGAGCACAGAGGAATAACATCTGAGTCCTCAGGAATGGCAACGCATGGAGGATATCATAGGCGAAACATGGTACTGCTCATGTCTATAGACGACGGTTACCACTTTCCATAAGGTGAGCCATCAGCTTGTTTACCATTCTCAGTTGTATAAAAAAAAACACATAGCTTAAAGAACCGACAACAGGTGGAGAACAGGTTCTTCAGGTACTACTCCGTATGGGCAAACGCAGTGTAGGACGACCCCGCACTAGATGTCATAAACGTAACATATATATATATATATATATATATATATATATATATATATATATATATATATGTATATATATATATATATATATAAAAGACCGCGATATATATACATATATCGCGGTCTTTTCTATGGTTGGATGACATTAATCAATTGCAAATCCTTGTTCTTAGACATTAATCGGTGATAAATTGACATAATGTCAAACGTCAAAACAAAACCGCAATGTTGTCATGTTTATAGAAAAGTTCATGTCAGATCTGTGAGTTATAATACTAACGTTTTTGTATAATACTATGTTACCGTTCTCAGCTATGTACCACCGTGGCAGACTATAGCAATCTTAAACAGATATTACATAAAGAAACGTACCGGTTAAAGACCTTCGTCTTCAAATTTTCAGTGCTTTGTACAAATTTATGCTCTACACGGAAACTGAACTATAAAATACGACATTAAATATTCCAAATAGACCATTTTGAAAATGGACTTTGTATTTCATTAATTATATTGAACACAACGAAATAATTAAAGTGGGAAAAGCTAATAAACACATACAAAGGCATATAATAACAGTTATGCAATGCAATTTATTTTATTATATTGATACTTCTAGATGATAGCATAGATTCATTTTCTTACTTCGTTAATATAAAAGTAGTGCCAACTGTTAATTAACATACATAACTAAAAAATCACTTCTTACAAGTACAGATAAATTTATCGCAGTTTACTCTGTATTGTACCTATAACTTATAATACTTATTCTATTTCAACATGAAATTTCTGAAAATTTACACAATAATAGAAATGTGAGGAGCTGTAGCTTGTAAGCATTTTTCAGAAATGATAAGGCAACCTCTTAAATTTAGAAAGACAATTTTTGTCATATGTGTTTTATTTTTAAGTAAGTATACTATTTTTGGTTATCATAATTTTTGTTTCTCTGTCAGTAACAATCTGCGTGAAAATATAGTCTTAGTATAATTATTACTTTCGAAATATATAATAAAATTATACAGTAATTTTAATTAAAATAAATGCCAAAACTACATTGCTAATAAAAATAAGTAAAAAAACAACTAATGAGTATGAGTATAACTTAGACGAAATCGTACGAATGAGAAAAAAAGGTAAGAAATATCTTCGATTTTAAATATCAATAAATAGACCAGTAAGTATTCTTATAAAGGTTATTTTATTGATGTTGAGGAATAATGCTCCTCAAGTCTGAGTCAATAGTCAAACTATTTATTATCCAAACGAAGTCATGGACAAAAGCTTGTAATAAATAAATAAACACAGTACTATAACCCCTGACATGGTAGTAAGAAGTGTTTGTCAAGTACACTTAATAGATATAATTCATAAATTTTTATTACAATTATTATATTTTGTTTTGAGCACATCAGTAAAAAATATATCCTTAAATTGTTACTGTTCTGATAAATGATCACACAATATCTACGTTTTACCAAGCATCATAGAATCCAATATGATAAAGGGCTATGTATCAGATTTATATCTATAGGTGATGGTTACCACTTTCCATCAGGTGGGCTGTTAGCTTGTTTGTCATTCTAAGTTGTATAAAAAAAAATATAATTATATACTCATGTTTTAATTCCTGGAAAAAAATAGCATTTAGCGATAAGGTTGCCCATTGTTGTCTCACTGTGAATATTTTTTGTAAATGTTTGTATTTATAATAAATTTACTATTGTAATCTTTTGAAGAAAATAATAAGGAGTATCTATTTATCTATCTATAATCTTAATATTTTTTATAGGTGTAAATTATAATGGGTATTGTATAATAAATTTTTACACAGTTTTGTCACAGTTGAATTCAGTTTTTTTTGTAGCATACAATCTTTATTACAATTTTTACTCTTTGTTGGGTAGCGGCCCTGCTCCATAATCTCTTGACCAATTTAAATAATATATAAATAATATTAAACTCCAAATGAAATAAAGAAATAAAATAGTGCATAATGATCAGTACATATTATCTCTTTCATTATGTGGACTTAAAATTACTACATGAACATATCTTAATAATTCATTGTTGTTTGAAGATGATAAAAATCATATTTGGCAATTTTATGTTGAGTAAACCAGAAAAAACAACATATGTAATTTTGATATTTTTTCTTGTTTACAGTAATTTTATTATTTCTTATAAGCAGAAAAGATACTGATATTATTAACAGCAGTAAAAAAATATCTGAAGATATCCCAGCTGTAGTGTACCGAGATTTCAGTTCAATACCAAAGAGGGAACATGTTTATGTAGACAAAAGAAAAATGGCATCTAACAGTGCAATTGATGATAATATAAAACAGGAACTGCAGGAAACCAGAGCTCAAATAGAGCAACTGAAGAAAAAAATTGCATTTTTAGAAGGAAGAATACCACAGAAATATCCTGATGTAAAGTATTTAGGATACAAAGAGAGAAAGAGAATATTGGTTAGTTTTTTTATGTAATGTATAATTATAATAATTCACAACTGGTTAGAAGTCCAAAGACAATTTAGAATTTTATTTTATTGGAGACCTGACTGAAATACAAAATTAGCTAATACTGTACTTATAACAAATGAAAAACTAACAAAAGAATGCAGGGTATTAAATAAGATATGTACAACTATTGACTGAGAAATTCTTATAACTTTGTTTGTACTTATCATCATATGAAAATTTTCTGTATACTAGCTTCAATTTTCTTTTCATATTTTACTATATATGTACACTGGCAAAATATGTTTTTATTTTTTTCTCCTATTTATTTATACATTTTCAGGTGACAGGAGGTGCTGGATTTGTGGGGTCTCATCTTGTAGACGTTCTTATGATGCAAGGTCATGAAGTAATTGTAGTTGACAACTTCTTTACTGGCCGCAAACGCAATGTTGAACACTGGTTTGGTCACAGAAACTTTGAGTTGATTCATCATGACATTGTCAATCCACTGTATGTTGAGGTATATGTTTTAGTTATTATAAAAAAAATATTTATATATTGAAATAAAAACAAATTGACATTTATTTATAACTAAAAGGTTTTTTTTGTATTTGTTGTGGTTGGGTGTTAAATGAAAAAGAATTAAGCAAAACATACTCCATACCATATGCTTATCCCCATAAGCGATATAGCGTAAAGATAATAGTTTAATTATAAAGATATTAATATAACTGTTGATACACTATATTTTTCATTATATGTACTCATCATTAATACATATATACATATATTACAGTGTCAATAATAATTTATTTACCATTTCTTTTTCCACATTTCAGGCTGATGAAATATATCACTTAGCTAGTCCTGCTAGTCCACCGCACTATATGCAAAATCCAGTAAAGACTATCAAAACCAACACGCTGGGCACCATTAACATGTTAGGTATGTATGTTATATAATTAATTCTATATGATTATTAATGATTAGAAATGTAATAGCTAACCTGCTTAAAAGCAATCAATAAATATATTTCCAGATCTAGATGATAAAAACATTACTACCACTAAATAAAGATTATTTCACAGTTCTTGTTTTATTAAAGCAATTTCAGTTTAAACTATTTAGATATCCATTTGATTCTTTTAATGTGCATAACTAAACATACTTTAAATAACTAATTCGCCAAATATAATTCAAGGATTTAGTCTAATTTAATTAATTTTGGTAAGAAAATGTAATACAATTACAATATAATTCCTTAAAACTGAATAAAAATTACAGGACTAGCACGGCGTGTTGGAGCCAAGATCTTAATTGCCAGCACATCCGAAGTATATGGGGATCCCATGGTGCACCCCCAGCCTGAGACTTACTGGGGTCACGTTAATCCAATAGGTTAGTTTTATAATATAGTTGGGTTCCACAACTCAACATTTAGGTGTTCTAAGATTTAAATTTAGACAGCCATTAAGTGTGTTTATACCAAAGTATGACAATGTTCAGATTGTTTGTAATTTTTGTAAAATAAATTAAAATGCTTTCAATATTTCTCAATTATATTCTAACAGCCAATGAAACAACAATACTACTATAAATTAAGATTCTTATTATTAATATATGATATATATTTATGCATGTTATATTCAAAGATTCACAATTTAGTTTTCTATCAGATCAATTCTTCAATAACAATTCAAGCCTATTGAACAATAATTTGAATATTTTAAAAAAAAAATATTCACAGTAACTTTTATTTCAGGTCCGCGGGCTTGTTATGACGAAGGCAAAAGAGTGGCTGAAACTTTGGCTTACTCATATGCCAAACAAGAGAATGTGTCTGTGAGAGTAGCAAGAATCTTCAATACATATGGGCCTAGAATGCACGTCTCCGATGGTCGTGTAGTGTCCAACTTTATTATGCAAGCTTTACAAAATTTAACTATAACTGTAAGATTATATTTTAAAATTTATTGAACTCCAATGTACTTTTTTCCTAAAAAGATTTAAAGTTTTTTATTACTACATTACAAACAAAACAAACAATGCAAATTATCCATTTAAGTATTATAACGTGTACTGATTGTGATTTTTATATTATATTTTAAATAGTCTAAATTGAGAATATGTTTATTCAAATGTGTACAAATTAACAAGATGACGTGACACTTAAAAAAATATGGAGTCTTATTATATGGTAAATTGTGGAACTATAAATTATTTATTAGAAGACATATTTCAGTCCCTACGTTTTTTTTTATACCACTAAACTAAACAACATACGGCTTACCTGATGGTAAAAATATATGAACACCTGCAATATCGTTTTACGCGTAAATTGTGAAATGAATAAACCTATTTACCCCCCCCCCCCCCCCCCCCCCCCCCCCCCCCCTTGAAGAACCCCATGCTGTAGTTTCTTGGGAAAACCTCCTACGTGTAAGTATACTGATCGTAACATTTTTATATTTCAGGTATATGGAAATGGGAAGCAGACCCGATCATTCTGCTACGTGTCAGATCTGGTAGACGGATTGTTGTCCTTAATGGCATCCAGTTACACTTTACCTGTTAACATTGGAAATCCTGTTGAACATACTATAGAAGGCAAGTTATTTTCTTACTAATATAATAAAATTGTAAATAGACGATGTCTATACATGGGAGATATTTGAGTAAAATAGTATTGATATTATTCAAAAGTAAGTTTTTAGAAGTTTTGTCTGTATTAAACATACAGCATCATGCAAAAACTACTGCACCTGCTTAAAATATGGTATATATTTTCTTGATACGCCATTTAAATGTGGTCTATTTGATTGGTTTTCCTATTATTGAAATCCACGCGAACAAAGTAAGGTGGAAAAAACTAGTAATATTATACAATATAAAGATTATCGATCGAAAATTGTGGCTCTTAATGAATTGACAGAATATTGTATGTACTCGTAACTGTATTCGAGGTAAATATTAAAAAAAAAAAACCACCATAAATTATCATCCTCACATCCTACATAAGACATGCCTTTAAAGATGAAAAAGTTTTCTATGACCTAGGTTTTAAATTATTTTAATCTTAGATTGAAAGTATTTAATAAGTAATAGAAAAGAATATTGTAACGTGTATTTTAGAGCAAAATAGATAAGAAAGTTGTTCACATGCAGGATAGGCAATAGTAGGCTATTAATATTAGGAACAAAACACATTCTAATTGTTTACGTATTTTGAATTGTACAAATTACACTTATCAATAACGTCAATATATCATCAATATTTTGCAGAATTTGCAATGATCATTAAGAATCTAGTCCCCGGATGTCGTAGCACGGTATCCACCGGCGCTGCAGTAGAAGACGACCCGCAACGTCGACGCCCGGATATCGCTATTGCAGAGGCTCAATTAAATTGGTCTCCCAAGGTAAGTTGTTTTTTAATACCACAATTAATAATCAATCTTACCATTTCTTAAACTTAAAAAATGATATGCAATAATATACAGGTGAAATCGAAATTATATTAGCCTTTTAAGGAAGTGTTAACAGTGAATCTAAATGATTTTCCCAAAGCGTCAATAAACAAAAAAATATTTTGTACCTCCCATACTAACACGGTGCGTCTAGCTGTTAAATTAAAATATTTTGTCATTTCTCTTTCTCTTTGATCTCATCTAATTGTTGAAATTTGTCCTAATATATTTTATAACATGGTTAAATCGTTAATTTTATGTATGACTAACAACTTCTATTTCATCCAATCTAACCAATTAATCTAACCATTTAAAGGAATTTACGTAGAAAAACAGATTGTATTTTTATTTATTTATTTAAATTTTATGTACATAAATAAGTAGTTTATCTTGTTTCGCATTAGTAATGATATGTTAACCTTCGGTAGCATTCATTGTTATGCGGATGACAGCACCGGGGATGCCCTTTATACGAGTCGTACCAATGTTCCCGTTCCATCGTGGAGAACAATCGTGAACAGCTTGTGTCTGAAATCGAGAGAACACTAACTGGAGTCTCTGATTGGGGACGACAAAACTTGGTCCAATTTAACCCCTCTAAGACACAAGCTTGCGCGTTCACCGCTAAAAAAACCCCATTTGCTGTGGCCCCACAGTTCCAAGGCACGTCTCTTAACATCTCTAAAAGCATTGGGATCCTTGGTGTCGACATCTCTAGTGACGTACAGTTCCGTGGCCACCTCGAAGATAAGGTGAAGCTGGCATCCAAAAAACTCGGTGTGCTCAATAGAGCGAAGCATTACTTCACGCCGGATCAGCGACTAATGCTTTACAAATCGCAAATCCGGCCCCATATGGAGTATTGCTGTCACTTATGGGCGGGAGCACCTAGATACCAGCTTGAACCCTTCGACTCAGTGCAACGACGAGCTATGAGAATTGTCGATGATCCCATGCTTGCAAGCGGTATCGAACCCTTAAGTCTTAGGAGAGATTTTGCCTCACTCTGCGTGTTCTACCGCTTATACAACGGATTGTGCTCAGAGGAATTATTCAATATGATGCCTACGGCCACTTTCTATCATCGTACGGCTCGCCATCGGCAGGGAGTTCACCCTCACAGCCTAAATGGTCGCGTACAACGCGGTTTCAGAGATGCTTTCTCCCACGAACACTCAGGTTATGGAATGAGCTCCCTGCCGAGGTTTTCCCGAGAGACTACAGCATGGGGTTCTTCAAAATAGGTTTCTTCAGGGTCGACAAAGCGCGTAATAAAATAGGCTACGGTAACCGCTTACCATATGCTTGTTTGCCATCAGTGGTATAAAAAAAAAAAAATAAAAATGTAGTGTAATAATATATTTACAATAAAATACGCATTAATATCTTAAATATGATCAAATAAAGAAAATAAAAATGGTATACATTGTAAATTTGATATGTCTCAAACTCTTTAATATTTTTTTCTGAATTAATAAAACATATATTTTCATTCTGCAGGTATCCCTACAAGACGGTTTACAACGAACAATAGATTATTTCAAGGAAGAGTTGTCCAGGACAACATTTTATAACAATCAAACTTACATGGATGTTAATGTGAAAAGTCCTCAATAGATATATTTTTTTTTTATGAATCCTCTATAATTGTGATAATATTATATTGACTGTTTGTAATGAAGTGTGATGTTGTATATAATAATAAATTATAATTGTTATTCATAATGTTTTATGTAGACAATTATTTTTATGTTATTGCATAATATGCAAGTTTTGTTTTTTTGCAGTCATTGTTATAATACCTATGAAACTGTATTACAGTTTGTTAACAGACACTGTTCCCTTTTAAACCAATATTGATCTTTGCATATTTGAATTTGTATATATGCAACTATACATAAATGTTCCCCAAATCATGGTTAGTTTAATACTTACCAATTAATTTCCTTGCTGGATCTAAATTTAAAGTCTATGGTATAGTTGTTTGTTCTTTGTAACTACGTTATTTATTAACTACTACTAGACTTTGACTTTCCAGTCAAAGTCTTCATAAATAACAAAAATGTGTATGGTCTGTACAATATTGGACTTTTATAAATAATTTTTCAAATCAAATGTCAAAAATCAGCTCAAGTAGCAGTTCAGACTCACAGAGCAAATGATCTTATTTGAATAATTATTCTTGGTATTTAATAAGAGTAAAAAAAAAAATTTAAATTAAAATAATTTTATTAGAACACATTTAAATCACAGTATGTACTAAACACTCCAGACATTGAGATAGATGACGCAAGTACCTTCATTTAATATGAAAACTAAATTAAAATTATTCTACACAAATTGTATGAAACTCAGGAATTGAAAATTATCCAAAATAAATTAGACAAATTAAAAATATATATATATTTGCGCCATCTATTCAAATTCACACCTGCACACATTATAGGCCTAATAATAATTTTCACAATATAACTATTGACTAGTTTATTAAATAGGTTGGATTAAATTTCAGTTCATGAGTCTCATCATAAAATTTCTGTAGAATTTTTTTATGTATATTGTTTACAACACATACTAGGCAGCACATTCCATTTATACCGATACAACATTCTTTGTGGTAACTCATTATTACAAAGTTTTTCACCATGGGAATGTACTAACGATTTGTACATGAGAAACATATCGCTCAGTGTCTGATTATGTCTAACTAACATGTGCTCGTCACAACCACGTGACTGCCACTGAGTATCAAATCTAATGTCGTGTACTCTGTTAATACCCTTCAGAGCCGCTGTCCAAACTCCCATTGATACATCTTCAGATATATAATGGCTGAAAAAATTAATGTATGTATTAATATTACAGTATTTCATAATAGCAGTACAGTGCTTTTGGCATATTTTGAATAATTACATAACAATTTAAAACATTTTATTGATCTTAAACCTATTAATTAGATAATTAGTAGGAAAGAATTTTTTAAACTATGACTAGCTTTTTATGATGGACATAAACAAGTCTATTTATCTATTTCTAATAAAACTTCTGTTTTAGATGAGGTACTATTGAAGTAATTGGTAACTAACTAAAAATAAATAAATAAATAACTATATGCAAATTCCAAATAAATGGCCAAAATTATACACTATTATATATATTGCATATACTCTTTATTAAATCAATATCTCACCTCAAGTCATCAACATTCCTTGCTATATAATTTACAATACTCTGTGATATTACATATCCTCCACCAAGGGCATATGGTAAATAGTGATCACAAAGAAACCAATCACGTTCCTGCCATTTGCCATTCAAATAAACTTTTGCTCTGCCATCAAAATATCCCCAATACAGTCCTTTATATGAAGGAAGCTTATCCTAAAATAGTTAACAAAATAAGTACATACTATTATTTTAGATTATAGTAAATTTTCATAAATCTTACATTCTCTATTACAAGTATTACATATACTGATTTGACTAATAGCATGTTTACACTTAAGTTGGTTAACTAAGCTATAAATAATGGTCAAGTGGCTATTTTTTAAATTATATGAATATTCAAACTGAATGAATACCAATGAGGGATAATAAGCAAGGATGAGTTCAGTTCAGTCAACAATAGTGTCACCATTGCCTATTTATTTCATTCATATTATATTTATATTCATTCATATCATAATTGACCAGGAATTAACCATGATGGTTTCCATGTGGGATCCTACAATGGTCAAACTAACAAGGTATATATAGTAAAAGGGCTACTAGTCTCCATTACTAACAATCCCCTCCCCCATTCAAGTAGGTATTAAGTATATAAAGTATTGCTACAGCACCAATTATGAGTTCAATATCAATTATCATAACTCCAATATAAAAGTTCTAATTATTTATTTAATTATTATTTATTGCACAATAACACATTGTACAAGTGGTGAGCTTAATACCATATTGCATTCTCCACCAGCTAACTATTAGATAAAAACAGAAAGCATATAAAGGGCAGATGTAGTGAAAAGTATGACATAATTATAGCAACATACTGAAATAATTATACATAATAATACATAAGAAATATACATATAACACAAATACTACTTATAATATATATATAGTTAAAATAATATACATACATACTGATATATATATATATATATATATATATATATATATATATATATATATATATATATATATATATATATATATATATATATATACATAAAACTGTGTGTATATATATTTTTTTTACAACTTAGAATGGCAAACAAGCTGACGGCCCACCTGATGGAAAGTGGTAACCATCGCCTACAGACATGAGCAGTACCATGGACATAACAGAGTATACTGTTTCGCCCATGATACCCCCCATGCGTTGCCATCCCTGAGAATTACGCCATATACTACTTTAATATATACCGAAATACAGCCATGCATATATACATATATGTGTGTGTATATATACGGTTGAAACACGAATGGGACAGAGGTACCCAAGCAATTTACTTTTGTACAAAGTCTCCCTCTGGTATGTGTATTATGTGCTCTGCGTATGTCTACAGCGATTTTATTGCAATTAATATTATTAACTCATATGTTTTTTTAGACACATTTCAATTTATTTTTGGTGAATAACATGATTTCAGATAAATAATATCTACATACTAAATAACATGACATCTTACAAGTTTTCATTACTTATTTACCTGTCTGACTGAGGAGGATAAATCTGGCCACTGAATTTTCAAATGCTTTCTGAAATATTGTCATACTAAAAGTTTGCAAATACCTTTGGTTTTGAAAACAATACAATAAATATATAAAATTAAATCTCATTGAATATGAGTGATACCACAATATGGTAGGATACCATTTTCTTAACAAACCCCATCCCTCTGACATGATTATCTAATGATAAGTAAGTATAAAAAATAAAATAAAACATGTGCCATTATTTAAAATCCAATATATGACTAATAAAAAAAAAATCTGGGGGAAGGGATTATTAATAATGCAGACTACCAGCGCCATTGCTAGCATTATGCTCTGTCTGGTTAACCTCCACATTATTCTCCTTTGAAACCATTGTGCTGAATTCAAGGCACCATGATAAGCTAACTAACTCAAGTCAGTTCTCACTTCATTCTCACCTATCGTCCCTCATTAGTGCCCTGTCAGTATATACCATTAGCACAGGTGGGGTTATCATTCCATTATTTAAAAAAAAAAACCTATAAAAGGTAATATAGGTACAAAAGAATAAAATGAGCAAAAACTATGAGACCAGGGCCTTCAATAAAAAATAAAAAAGCAATGTTATAAATATAAACCTTATTTTTTAAATGTTTATCATGAACTTGAATAACAGTGATCAAACTTACTTTATAACTAACATAATTACTTAATTTTCTATCACTCATATCTGGTGCAAAAGCCTCTAAATCTTTAACAATGAGGTCAATCCTTACAAATGAATCATCATCACATTTTAACAAATATTTTAACCCTTCCACATTTTTGTCAATCCAACTCAATGCATGAAGCATTTTTAAAGCTAAATTTCTATAGCTATCTTCAAGCTGATCCAAAATAAGTAAATCATGAGTTCTACTATTCTCATTTCTTAATTTATCCAATTTGTTTCGACTCAACCCTTTTGTTCCTATAGCAAAATAAAACTTGATAAGATCTTGCTGTACAGTTTGACCAATCCAAGTATGGTTCCATTTAAACAACTTTTCCCCATTTTCAATGAATATGTTTGTTGCTAATTTTGCCCAGGTAGCTCTGATTACATCACGTTTTTCTTCATTGTCAGGACCGCTGACAATAAGCACAACATACTCTGATTTACTGTATGGTTTGGTCACCTTGTTTACTGATGATACGGCATCAACACATTCAAGACGAAGGAAACTTAACGTTAAACCACATCCGATATAGAAGAAGAAGATACTAGCTAATATCATACTTTTATATCTCCTCATCAAAATCATCAGCATTTTGTAGTTAATTAAGTTTTCAGATACTACCCATTTCAATTTAAAAGATTGTAAACAAATGTTTAGGACTAACATTTACTTTACAAATACCTATTGAATTTTATCTAGTCATATAAGTGGATACCCTTTGGGAGAAATACAAATGTTTTAGCATTTGGAATTGTAACTTTTTTAATTTGAATTTTGGATAGAGATAATTAATTTATTAAAGATAAAAATTTGACAGATATCGTACATGCACATATTCAAAGAGCGCATGACAGATGACAGAACGCAAGAACGAGGGTTGCCATATGCGATTTTTAGCCAAATGTAAATTTTTTTCTCCAAATAGATTTTCACTACATTTTGCTTAATACAGCAAACGATATAAAAAATAACCACCTTCCCTATTTATAAACATTAGCTTCTTTTATCCTCTCCTTTTCTTATCCCATCCTCCGTTTTGTTACTTCTATTAATGCATTTTATTGTATTTATATACCGCTATACGTTTTATAAATATCGAAACTGTCAAATAAATATCAGGATTTCTTCAAGTAATTAATTTCTTCATAATTTCCGATCAGAAAATTTTAAACAGAATTATGAAAATACAATCTACAAATACAACAAATCTATCATTTTGATAGAGAGAGAGAGAGAGATTGAGTCGTTAAAAGAGAGAATCGTAGTTACTATCCTTAATCGATAAATACAGTACAATATGTCTGTGAGTACCAAAAATTTTGGAATTTGTACTTAAGTGAATACAACACAATAGACATAGACAAACTAGGTACTCATGTATTATCGTATGTGAATATCAACTTAAAGCGGTAAACTAAACAGCAATAAACAAAAATATATCAATGTACTTTATTTTTGAAATATACATTGAAAAATTTACTACATTCTCAATACTATAATATAAAGTACAAATCATTTTCAATCAATATAAATTGATTTTAATCAAACATTCATTCGCATTTAATAACTATAGTTAGTCTTTTAATTACTATGGATGGTTTCCAGGGGGAACGTGGAGGTCGACCTGATAGAGTGTATTGCTAGTAATAGCTCAGTTAGACTCCATTACTAACAATCCCTTTTCCTCTATCATTGTGTATTAAGGCGTAGGTATTTTCTCTCCTTAATCTATGGTCAAACCCAAGCTGACAATTTCAATAATGTCAATGTCATTTGTGATTCATGTTTCGAGTAATATTGCCAGATAAAATACTTTCTTCGCATTTGTGGGTAAAAATTCTCATGTAGAGAAATGGAATTAATATAAATTTCAGTTTTTGGTTTTGTAATATGTATATGCATATTGGAAGTTACATTAAGATTAGTAATATTTTCTTTTGTCAACCGTACTAGTCGTTATTTATTTAGTAGTACAAAATTACAGTGTTATTAAAAAATATCTTGTTAAGAAAAATAAGTTCATATTTGAGGAAAAATAAAAATTTGTGACTAGCAGCTCTGTAATTTTCAGGAAAATCGCGAATTTTTAGAGTCAATCGTAGTGGTCGGTGATGGTTCTTGGAATTACCGTCTATTGGTCGCCGTGCCGGGTTTTTAACTTTTTTTAGTTTTAGTTATTTTGTAAAAACATTTATCTCGGAATCCGAAAGCTTTTGAACTATTTCTAATTTTATGAACCTGTAAATTGTCAAGTGTTGTGTGCGGTCAATAAATAATGTTGTAAAAGAAAATTTTATTATTAATAGGTAGGTAGTCTATTTTACTGTGATACAAATTTCGAAGATAGGTAATTCAAAAGTGCTACGGTAGTGTTTGATGACCACTCCGTCCAATGCTGTGACATTTGTATAAATACTGTTAATATTCCAAATCAGATTTTTGTCCGTCACGTGAAGAGATACAAACTGTAAGTATGAAATAGACTTAATCGAATAATATCAATTTTTTTTAATGGAGTTACCCTTTCACCGAATTTTCCATTCCCACTAATTCAATAATTCATTTTTAAATAAAAAATACACATTTTCGGAAAATGTAATACTTGGTAAACGAGTATATATTATACCTAAATGATCTGGCAAAGTGTACCTTACCACTAGTATCAATTAATTACATATCTACATTATTTTAGGATAGAAACATAATATTAGGATAGAAATTATTATAGTTGTCATTTACCTCTTATTATTATATTTTATTCAAATAATACTTCTAATTTATATTTTTCAGTCCCAAATCATAAATAATCATCAACAGTGCAAGATTTGTATTTTTATATTTATACTATAAAATTGATCATTATCCTTAGAAATATAGACAACTATATATGAGAAGAACCATCAAATGCCATTATCCAAACAATAATTAATTAATTAATTAAACCAATTGACTATTTACTCTTTTTCAATCATGTTTTCAACATAGATACTTTAATACATGCTAAAGATTTAATAAGATTGCAAAATAATTATAATATTAATTTACTTACTTAATTTAAATATATTCTCAAATGTGGTCAAATGTAGACATATTAAGTATTCCATTGCCCCTATTGTAATGAATAGTCAATTAATATTTTAATTCTTAATGGGGTATTAAGCTTCAACCCCATTAAGAATGAAAGTCATGAGCATATTTATTATTAGCGATTGAACCCAGATTTGCAAAGGTAGATTTGGCAAATATAAAATATAGCCTATATAACTTCCTAATAATGTGGCTTTCTGTAATTGAAAGAATTTTTAAAATTTGTTTAAGTATTTTTTAACTTTATCTATTACAAACAATCAAATCTTTCTTTTTTATAATATTAGTATATATGAAACATTGATATATAATTTTATATTAGATTACAACATGGAGTCTTCAAAGAAGAAGCAGCGTCCCTCACACCCCAGAGCAAGAGCAAATCCATTATCAGCACTGACATTTGGGTATGTTTTAATGGTTATCTTTTCTAAAATATCACTGTGACTGTCAAAAGTAGGAGACTATTACATGTATTTTTTATGTGTATATTAGGAGAGTATATCTTTGCCAGTTCTAAATTACTCCTTATCATCTTTTTGCAATTAATAGGTTTTTCTCAATAAGAAAAGTCCATATTAATTTATAATTAAATCTATATTAATTGAAATAATTTTTACTTAACCAAATTTAATTTTTTATATTATTTCTATATTATTGCATTGTTGTGCAATAATATAGCAACATCTTAGAAAATGTAATAAAATTAACTAACATTGGAGTAGATTCTATTGATTTTCCAAATAATTATCAAAATCGCTTCATAATTGGCATGGATATTGTATACCAATTGCAAAAAATACATGTGAATTGGGTCCTGAGAACAGTGTTCTAGGCATGTTCCTGGGCACTGGATTTACAAACCCTTGTATAAAGATCATTTTGACCAATTAGAGTTCATTTTTTTTTGTAGATGGACCCTGCCAATATTTTGGAGTGGTCTGAAAAAAGAAATGGAAGAACATGATCTTTACGAGCCTCTAGAGGAACACTCTTCAGGTGAGTTTATTTTTTAAATATATAATAGATAGTAACCTTACCTACCACTGACTAGACAGTTATCATTGAGATTGTAAAACTATACATATGTACTTGTTGAATACTGTATATTTTATTAAACATACCTAACAAAACTTCAAGTTAAATATTTACAGGAGTAGTTGTTGCTTTGATTTTAAATTTATTTATAAAATATACTTGTGGTTTGTGGTCTTAGAATAACAAATTAAAATTAAGAAATGTTAATGACCTGTTTTAAAATTATTACCAGCAACCACCAATATTGTTACGAATGATAATATTGCTGTCATGATTATTGCCTTGTAAATCTTAGAATACAATGTTTCCATAGTAGTAAATTTTTAAAAATATTTTACAAACGATCATATAACTTGTTATGCTTCTATGGTTAATATTTCACAATGATAGGCAAACGCAACTAACGAAATCATACATTACAGATTTGACAAGGCCAATTTAACACACATACAATTTGGGAATAACGTTGTTTTGTCTCAATCCGCAACCAATCGGGTTTATTTTTTATCACTTATCGAGATAAAACCGATTACCTATAGGATTTTTTTTTTCTTATAGGTAATCGATTGAATGATTTCGGAAGTTAGCGTGAACTGACATTGTGCTACCCTATTTATACAGGGTGTACCAGAAGTCGACGTCAAGCCGGAATCGGATAACGGGCTAAGTCGTAATATTTAACAGAAAAATAAAATAAAAATACAAGTTACATATTTAAAAAATTATAGACATGATAAATCGAAAAAATCTACACCTTGTGACGGTGTTTTCGCTTCTGTTACTACAGATATGTTCTTTTTTTCCATTTGTCTTTTCTAATACTTTAAATTCTGGCCTAAAATTTAAATTTAACTGCTCCAGCTTGCAGACAAAACTGGGCTAAGTATTAATTTTGAATCTTTGTTTGAGAAAAAAGTGATATTTACTTCCGAACTGAGGTGAAAATATCGTCACAGATTTTGTCTATTTTTTTTTTAAATGTCGATAATTTTTAAAATATGTAACTTGTATTTTTATTTTATTTTTCTGATGACCATTATGATTTAACCCGTTACCCGATTCCGATTTGACGTCGACTTCTGGGACACTGTGCGTGGATTTTAATAGTAGGAAAAAACAATTAAATGGACAACTTTTAGATGGCGTATAAAGAGTACACGTTAAGTACACTAGATTTTAAGTTAACTCTTCAGAAACATGTCTGTGTATACATCTGTGAAAACTGTATCCCCTTTGGTGCAGCGTCATATCGGAACATACAGATTGCCAGATAGACATACGAACAAAATTTCTAGAAATTATTTTCTGATATTTATTGATATTATTAAGACCCTTCATATTAATTTTTCTCTCATATACAGATATCGTCTGGTTACAATTTTATTATTATGATTAAAAAGATTAAGATATAAAGATAATAGCACAGATAGGTGTGTGGTGTACATTAGTAGTAGCAATATTGTTAGTATAGCACTTTACACTAATTCTAGTGCTATCTTATTACACTTCAAATATTTTTCCTTCATTCATCATATATTTTGGTACATGTCTAACCTTCAAGTTCAAAGCAAACAATAATTAGTACGAAAGTAGTTACGTGGCCCTTCATGCACGAGTTTCCATCTTTAAAAATATTGTTTCTAGCCGACTACCAAATAAAGGACGGTACGGTCTTACTCGCTTATTTTTTAAATTACATTTTACTCCAGTACAAAAAAAAAAAATAGGTATATATCTAGGTATTTTAATTTATATATTTGTAAATGCAAATATTTTCAATGTTGAAAAATCATCGTTCACATATATAAGTATCTAAAATTATTGGTAGTAGAGAGAGTTTGTTGATTGATACTGGATCGTTACGCAAATAAAATAATGTAATTATTAATCTTATATATAAAAATTTCGTGTCACGGTGTTTGTGGTTTTCTTGTAGAAAAAATAATTTATACGGCAGAACAACGTTTGCGGGGCAGCTAGTATTCTATAAATATAGTAAGAAATGAAAACCTGTCAGAAAATCATTGTATTCGAATTTTGAACTGCTTTACTTTTTGAACTTATGACGCTATCGATGACATGCAATCAGATAAGATTTCATAACGACATATTCGATCAGTATGAAACGGAGGTTAACTAAAATCTCAGATAATGAAATACGTAATAAAAACTGATATAGAGGGAATTACAATAAAAAATACAGATGGGATAATGACAAAATAAATAATTCTTTTTCCGGTCATTGTTTACCTAACGACGTCTAACAGTTTGTGACGAGTTTCTGTGGATTCTAAATGAAATGAATCTTGAAATTTACATAGTTAATTATGTAAATTACGTAATATGTTCTTATTAATTATGAATCCCCAGAACATAAGTGTAAATAACACTATATTGTATTTCTTCACCCGGGGATAGGGTTCTGCTCACACTTACGAATTTCCTTATGAGTAAGATCGATCGAGAGATATGGGTTTTTTAATGAATACGGGATTTTCCTATATCGCGCCCTTGATGTTACATAGTAGATCAAACATATTGCTCTACTATGTAACATCACGTTTCACATAGTTTAGCGACATTGCAATTAAGTGTGTGGCATAGCTACTATATAACAATCAAGCTATCATGTATTTATGGTTGAGTTCCCACGGAAAAGTATAATGGATTTGTTGACTTATTATATTTTGTTCACTACCTTTGTCACTGTTGGTCTTTGTCACATTGAACTATTTAGATACTCATACTTAAAGTTATCGATATGTTGCGTGAGAGAATTTTACATGAAGTAAATAAATGCAAAGTCCACCGAGAGACATTCGATGAATGGTTACTCAGTTCGAAGGCTTTCGGGACACTGCCACATTTTATTCAAGATACCGTTGTTATTACTATTTTTTTAATGGATAAAAATCGAATGGTAATCCAATTGCATTGATTTTATTGAGAGGGGTAGCAGTGACGCGAGGCATAAGCACCAGTGAGGGTTGATAAGTGAGAATGAAATTAGATCATAACCTTCAAGAAAAGAGCATATTCGTTTTTAAAAGGCAGACAGCGCGCTTATGACGCCTTTGGTGTTGCAGATGATCTTGGGCGGCGATGGTCACTTACCATCAGGCCGCATGCTCATTTGCCTCCTGTATTATATAAAAAAAGATAAGTCATATCGTGATTAATTTATCAGGAATGAACCGCAATGGTTTCCAGAAAGAAAAACGTGGAGATTAATAGGATATATTTGTACTAATGAGACCTGTACAAACGGTTTATTTATTAATATATTATGCATAAAATACGCAGACGTGATCGCTGGCATTGAGATAGATATTAGTCACTATTATAAAAGACATTTAAAGGCAATTATTTTATTAGGATTATGATAAAAGAGACATAGAATTAGTAGGGGCGAAAAACCTTTGATGTTTTAATAAGAGGAGGAGGTGTAATGTGATTGAACGATTATAACACAATAACAGTCTAGTGCATAAATAATTTGATATATGAAACCATACCATTTGTTTCTGTCGAATTTTACAAATATATGCGATAGCCAACAGGCTACAATATAACGCGGGGGGTCTTGTTTAATAAATTTAATGAAACGGCCAATATATATTTTAATAGTATTCCACTCTAGCCCTTAAAAAAATAAAGACGTAGCTATCTGCTGTACGTGCTAAGTACGTTAGATAGCTATGTTTTTTTTTTTTTACTGAAATATTGCCCATGTTACTCGCTGATAACATATACCATTATGTAATTGTGATGATGGAATCATGCCATTGAAATTGTATGTATATTATTATTTTATTTTTTATGTAAATTATTTTCATATACATAGATTATTTTTTTTTATATTACTATGGTAGCAAACAATCATACGGCCTATCTGATGGTAAACAGTTTCCGTAGCCTATGAACGCCTATAACACCAAATATGTTACGCGCACTTTGAATAATAGAAATTTTCACATATAATTTCGTTAACAGGACCTTTAGGAGATAAGTTTGCACGTCTATGGGAGGAGGAAGTAGCCCGCGCTGGCAGCAAGCGGACACCGAGCCTGTTACGGGTAATCCTGAGGGCGTATGCTGCACGATGTATGGTCTATGGAATCATACTACTGGTCATGGAGTGTGGGATACGGTGAGTGAATATTACTTCTATGATTAATAACCTTATTTATTAAAAAAATAAAATGGATATAAGACTTAATACAGACAAGGGATTGGTAATAATGTAGATTTGAAACATGTTACTAAGAATCGTATATTTAGGAATATATACATCGTATAGTGTTATGTATTATTTGAATGTGCCTTATCTATATTCACAGATTTACCGTTTTATAACACACTACCTACTGTGCTGTAAGACGACTGATTAGATAGACTAGTTCTTTTTATTGTATTACAATTATTACGGTCGGATGAGCATGTTATTACAATATTATGCCGCGACATTACTGTGACAATCAGCAGCCAATAGTTACGTGTTAGTCTAGATACTGCGTAGTGATAATATACTACTGATACATAATTCATTTTTAAGCAAACTTCGAAAAGGAGGACATTCTCAATACATCTATATTTGTGTGTATATTATGCTATTTCTGATTCTATTTTGATTTAGGTATAAAAATTCTATATTTTTTAGCATACACTGTAGAACTGCTAATTTTAATATTTAGTGAAGTGTTAACATTAGTTTTTTTATTGTAAAATGTCTCACAATAAAATATATCAAATACATGAAATTTTCAACGAATAGAGCTAGTTTATATTATTAGTAATCACGAATATAACTGGGTGTTATAAGTTTGCGATAAATTGATAAGAAATGTCTACAAAATTTACAATAATAATATTGCTGGTATATGGTTTGTATAGATTTGAATATTGAACTGTAAAGACGATAAACATAAATGAATACATACGGCTGAGATGCGAATGTTAAAAGATGTGTGACGTAAAACGAAATGATAGAATAAAGAATGAGCGAGTACCTAAAAGGAATTCTGAAAGCCGCCGTCACGTCAATAACAAGTCTCTGGAGTCTGACATATCTATTTAAGATCTGTTATGCAAGTAATTACAACAGAAAAACTGTTAGTAAAGGCCTTTGCCACTTGGTTTTTTCTAACCATTGATATGAATATGTCTGAAACATTGCTAGTGTTTTTAAAATTATAATCTTTTTAACGAAGACGTTAATATTAAGTAATTAAAGCCTAATGCAATATTACACAGCGCTGTCTAGTTCCAAGCTACGCAGAGCTTGTACTATGGGTACATAACATCTGATAAAAACATACTTAAATCTATATTTGTATAACTAGAATTCTATGAACTTACTATGATTGTCGTTTCATTAAAATATGTTTTACAAAAAAAAAAAAAAAATACTATTGAAAATAACTAGACCAATACAAACACATATTCTCATAAATACAAACGTGTGAATTGTTCGGTGAACGAACCTGCGATCGTCGAAAGATAAACTCGGGTGTGTTAAGTCGCTAGACGTAAATATATATTTTATGTATTCAATCGGAGTCTAATATAGACTCTTTTAAGACTTATTTTTAGTATTAAAAATTTACACATATTGTACCTAAATATTTCTAGTCCTACTATCATCATATCAGCCTTTAATTGTTCACTGCTGAACTGAGGCCTCCTCTTGGGGGGTTTTTCCAGTAGTCGCCTCGCTTGGCATGCGGATTGGCAACTACAGTTTGGCTTGGGAAATATTTTAAGAAAAACGCTGCTGCCCATCCCTCGTCCTCCCTTAGTCTTCTCTTACGACAGCCACAAGAAAGAAGATATACCAGTTATTGAAAATTCTTTTATTTGGGGGCGTGAATATGTCCTACAGTATCAATCAAACATAGTCGTACACGCTCCTCTTCAAGATGGACCACCGACCGCTCTAGTTAAATTGGTCATGATGGTTAATTGACCTGCATTCTTCTTCGCCTATTTATCACCCTTTTCCGGGGGGAAAGGGATTGCTAGTAATGGAGTCTAATTGACCCATTGCTACCTATACACCCTATCAGGTTGAACTCCACGCGGTTCCCCCTGGAAACCATCGTGGTTAATTCTTGTGGAATTCGTCACGATGTGCTAACTGATCTGCTTTCATCGTCACCTATTATCCTTCACTGGTGCCCGGCCAGCGTATACCGATAGCGCGGATGGGATTACCATTCCATTATCACCCATTTAAAAAACCTACGTATACCGATAGTAGATGCCTAATCCTATTGGTTAGCATTACGTTATCATAAAAAAACGCACTCCTCTCAAGGCAACTCTGATCATGCTTTAGATTGAATTATAAATTTGAATATTTCTGTTATTACTACTACTATTACTTACTACGTACTTAGATATTATAATTGTAGCACGCATGTAGGATCTACATTTTATATATAATATATATATATATATCAATTTTACCCCTTCAAAGTACTCCCCCTGTGACATAATGACTTGTGCCAACTTTTACTTGAAAAAGTCGTAGCTTTTTTTATCTCATTTATGTCCCCCAAATGCCGCCCCCGAAGTACCAATTTGGTTTTTGGGAACAAGAAGAAGTCACACGGGGCCAAATCCGGCAGGGGGGTGTTCGGTCGTGTTTCACGGACAACAAGAGAGGTGAAGCATTGTTGTGTTTGCCAATGACTGTGTTGAGCACATCGACGTAGAATTTTCCATCAACTGTCTGGCCTGGAGGGACGATTCTTGATGGACAATCCCCCGAACATCGAACTCTTTCTCGGCCCTCTCTGAATCTTTTTACACTTGTGGACGGTTGGTTCCTTCACAGCATCATCCCCATAAACTGTTCTGAGATCGGAGCCATTCTTGCCTCGAGAGGACGATGGCAAGCGCTCCATGCCGACGGGGTTTCGGGGTATCACAGATGGGTGACAAACACGGCGGTCAGACCATAGCATTGTTGACTATGTCCATGGTACATTCCAGAACACTCACTTTCCGGACAGTCGTATAATATATATATATATATATATATATATATATATATATATATATCACCAGAGGGAGACTTTGGCGACCTCTGTCCCATTCGTGTTTCAACCACTTTCCATCAGGTGGGCTCAGGAATGGCAACGCATTGTTTGTCATTCTATGTCCATGGTACTGCTCATGTCTAAAACTTTCCATATATATATATATATATATATATGTAAGAAAGGGTACATTTTCTTGATAGAACATTACCTCAAGAATATTTCAATGATTGCGATTTCACCACGTACACCTTCAAATGTATGATAGCATTGATAAGAGTACCTACCAATCTCTATATGTTGGCCGTTTTAAAAGTGTGTATTATATTTTATACAGTATTAAAATCTAACATTGGCCCAAAGGTCCGCGCCGTACCGTTAGGTACGCTGTTACGTGACATAGCATATTATTATGTCTACTTATATGGTATTAAGTATCATGAGAAATCTATTGCCACTAGAGATAACTCTACGCTTTAATACATCCCAATTGTAAATTTTAATAAATTTAAATAAATAAATTTGCAGTGCATTATGAAAATTTTTACAAAGTAGCAGTATACATATGTCAATGTAATCAACGTTTTACTAAATTGTTTCTGTTCACATAACGGCGCGTTCATCTAATAAATTAGTCACTGGACTTTGTCACTTCCTGTGTGCTTTGCGTGTACTCCAGGATAACAAATGTGCAAAACTCTTTAATGTACAAATTGTATTTCTAAATAAAAGATTTGTTTAGAAATACAATTTGTACATAAAAGTGACGCTATTCACTCTGATTTACTTAAGTACCTAAGTATGATGGCCCTATTTTTTTACAATCCGTTTTATTAAAAAAAAAATTTGTAAAATTTAATCACTCACTGTCTTAAAATGAAGACAAGTAGTAATATATTTAAAACAAAATTACGTCATAATACCAATTCGGTGTGTTCTATTTTGATGGATACGTGACGTTACGTATATGATAGTTTTTCATCTGTGGAGGCCCTTAGTCGTATTGTGGTTCCACTTGACATTGTTATAAATTTATTCATACAGTATTGACCTGCAAATAAAATTATAACATACTATACTGTGTCTATGCGATTTGCGATGTCTTCATTTTATAATACACACGATAACTATTTTTAATTTGGATTGATATAGACTAAAGAAGTAACTTTACTTATATTATGAAATATAAAAAGTAAAAAAATGTAGCAAGCACCAAAACCAAATAAGTATAAAATATCTTCCTTTGGGTCGTTCAGTCCTTCCCCTAAAATATAATTTTGTTCGTTTATGTGTTGTACGAAAATTCATTAGTGAATCTATTCTTTTTTAATTTCTGAATCTGTAAAAAGGACTTCCTTTGTTGAACAGTATAGTATTTTACACAATTCAACTTCTGGTTTAGTGTGGTGCAAATAAACCCTTTAGATCCTAAAATCTTACATCATTCTTCTTTACACAGTCAACGAATAATTTTGTAACGTTAAAATATAAACTTTCCTATTGTCCTTTTTTATATAAAAGGGCGACAAACGAGCATGCTCATCTAATGGTAAGTGATTACCGCAGCCCATAGACACTAATGACACCAAGGAAGTCGCCAATGTATTGCCAGGCTTTTAAAAAGGTATAAATTCATCTCTTGAAAAGCAGCGCCTATGTTGTATTTTTTAGTAAATAAAAAATTCCTTCCCTCTTAGTTGTAAACTAACTTCTACTCTTTTATAACACGAATTAAAAAAAATAGCTTAGTATGTTTTGTCTTCCGTATACAAATAATCTATAGCTGATTCTCATCATCATACGTGTTTACAGCATTGACTTATTTTAATTTTTGTTGTTATATTTTTAATTTATTAATAGCAATTATTGTACTAATAATATTATTAGGTATAAATATAAATTCCCAATGTAAATAAATATGGCTAAATATAAAATTAATTTTATTATAAAGATTTCTTTTGTCATAACTTTGTAATGACTGTTGCATGTCAGTAATGGCAAAATGTGTGAAACTAACTTTTGTAATATTACCATATCACTTTATTGTACCACATTTTAGCAATAAATTTTATTCGTTCATTCAGTTATTTATTCTTTCATGACTTTA